CTGGCCTGCCTCACCTTTTTTTCAGGTTGCATGTGAGATATTTCTAGTGGTGCATTCCACTGAGCAGAAGGGATCAGAGTCCTGGGGCTTCTGTTAACATTTCTGAGTTAAACTCAGTGTGTTTATTTGATTGTTCTTATTAGGGACTGGTAGTACATCTAAAGGATGCTTAAGATACCAGCACTCCAGTGAGGAGGTTGGAATCAGAGGCATTAACACAAACATAGTTTATCACTTTGCTGGGTTCACTAAACATGTTTGGCTGCCACAGCCCCTGATGAGGACACCAGCCATCAAGTAGACCTGCAGGCCATGTGGCCAGGGGAAGTGCTAAGCCAGTGTAATCACTGGAGCATGGGTCTTCCCCAAAGCTCAGTTCCTCATCAGCTAAGCTGGGCTAACGTTCAGCATTTCCTGTTATTGGTTGTCTCAGGAGGCCTCCGTGACCTTGCTCTATGTGACATGTATAGGTTGTAAGATACAGTCCTCAGTCTGTGGTCAGTGTTCTGCTTACGTTCAGACTTAGGAAGGTAGATGACATAGGTTGTTTTGTTTGGGAAAGAGAGGAAGGAAAGGAAGGAGGAAGAAAGATATTTGCAGGTTTTTCCAAAAGGAATTCTTCATTTGCCTTCACAGGTGGTTTTAGTCCTGTGCTTCCTGATACTCACTCATTGATCTCCTTGCTTACCCCATGGGCTGTGGTCTAGGTATGTGATTCTCTGTAGCAGGGGTGGCCCAGACCCAAGGCAAAGCCTTTCTGCCCCTGGGAGAGGGCTCATGCCCACAAAGCAGGGCTGACCTCCTCTCTGCACTAGGTCCCTGAGGGTCTGTACTGGGCTGGAAACCTTCCTTTGTTTCACCAAAGGGCCTTCTTTCTGGAAGTTCTTCCACCCCTGTATGATTATGAAAAGGCTCATGTTCAAGTCTTTCAAGATCTTGAATTTGTGTTTGGGGAGTCATCTCAAGGTAACTGGAGGAGGCCTGCAGCTGGGGGAAGCTGAGGCCAGTCGAGGCCAGCCAGGTCAGCCATCAGTCAGCACAGAACTCCGACAAGAATGCCTGGCCATGCTGCAGCCACAGGGTGTGCCCATGGGTGCAGGCGGCTTGGAGCAGCCCCAGGGCTGTTTACCAGGTGGGGCAGGGACTTTGGAGTAAGGAGGAGCTAACTTCAGGAAGCAGAAGCTTTCGGGCTGTTTTTTAAAGCTTCAAAGTTGGATCACGTTAAATGAATTAAGAGGTGGAGGATCATCATGCATCTTAAAAGATTGGGACACATGGGTCAGTGTAATCCTCCAGACCCAAGGAAAAATAATTGGTTTTAGGGTTAAGAAGAGCTGCACAAAGGATCCCTTCCATGTTGAGGATTAGTCTCTGGGAAGGTAGTAAGGCTTGAACTAACCAGGCCTCGCCCTTTCAAGGAGGTAGCTGCTGTTGGAGTCCCTTTGAAAATCACACCTTCCAAGAGCATGTGTGCGAGTTTAATCAGTCAGTTGCCGTGGTGGAGTCTTTCCCAGAGCCATGGCATCTGGAGGATTCCGGGAGACCCATGTCGCTGGCTGCATTCATGGCATCCTGGCTGGGGCCTGGGCCACTCCATAAGAGCCAGGTGATCACAGATCACGTGTGAGCCGATCCCCTCTTGCCCGACTCAGCATCCAGATTCAGGCTTCTCTTTGTACTCGAAGCCCTTATACTTCAAAGCTGAACCACTCAACTGAGTACGTGATTCTGCTCCCTTGTTTTGCTTCCTAATTGCTTCAGGTATTTTGAGTTTGAAAGTCCCTTTGGGGCAGGGACTGGCCTCTTCTCTACCTACTGCCCCCACCATAGGAAACCCGCGTCTGGGTAGCCAGCGCACCCTGCTAGTCCTTAGACGGGCTGACCGTGGGAGGAAAGAAGGGATCGCACAGGGATTTGGGCATCTTGCAGCCCATAGAGTGCACTCACACCTCTCACCCTGCTGTGCTATTATTGTTTTGATTTGTGTTTTTTGGTCTTTACAACACTATTTTAAAGGCAAAGAAACTAATGGGAAAGATGATATCTCAAGATCAAGTGGCTGATGGGTGGCAGAGCAGGAACTAGAACTCAACCAGCTGGCTGGCTTGACAAGCCTAGTGTTCTTGAACCCCAAGACCTTCAGTAACAGTAACAACCACACAGCCCGTGCTTGCCATGTGCCCACACGGCTGTCAGCACTCTCCTGCATTGACCCATGTCATCCTCTCAGCAGCCCTGGGAGGGACAGGAACTGTTACCATCATTATTCCCATTTTACAGATGAGGAAACAAGGTAAACCAGGGCCACGTAAGAACTGCACATAGCAGGGGCTACGCAGATAAGAATGAGTTACAGCAAACATGGATTGGCCTTTATGAAGACCTGCTGGGCTTTTATGTGCTGCATTATTTCCACACTGCACTCCTCGGCAAAATAGATGCTGTCATTCCCATCTTACAGATAAGAAACTGAGGCTCTGAGAAGTTAAAGTGACTTGTCAAAGGCCACATGACTAGAAGGCACACTGGTCGTCAGACTTGGACCTGCTCTTCACCACTGGGTCTGACATGTGGCACAGGATGCAGCCACTTCCAGTTCATCCCTGTGCTTTGTGCGGGCTCCGGCCTCCTGGGTGAGGAGTTAACTTTCCAGGGGCATGGCTGCCTGGCTCAGAGGACAGCCTGCTTTGTCACTCAATTATGTGTTTCCTGTAAAAATAGAACTCTTCATTAAAGCAGCGCAGCACAGCCATCAGCTGGAATTACTAATTACTGCCCTTTAAAGAGATAATACCCCCTTGTGTGCATGTGCCACACCTGCCGCCACTCTACCACCCCCACTATGGAGGCTTCCAATGTGGCCAGGAGCCAGAGGGATGGGGAAGAGCCGCCTAGGGCAAACGTCCAGACGGGACCAGCCGGACCAGGGAGAATGAGAGCTCCGCAGCGGGCTCCATGGCCTCACTGCTGTGGGTTGCTCTCATCCTGGGAGCACTCTCAGCTTTCCAGGCCTTGCTGAGTCCTTGCGACTCAACTTTCCTCTTCAGTTCTTCAGCAGAGGTTTCCTGAGTGATATGACGTGTGGCGGTGGAGCTACAGTGACGAGAAAGACTTGGTCCCTGCCCAAAGGAAGGCAGGATCTTGTACGGAAAACAGGTCCGAGATGACAAAGCCATCTGAGAATAACAGCTAACCTTTCTTGAGGGGTTACTGTGTCCCAGGCACTCGCTTTACAGGCTCTATGTCCCTTGCCCCTCCCAGCAGCCCTCCCGGGCAGTGTCATTACTCTCCCCGCTTTACAGACGAGCAGGCATGTTCAGAGGGCTTAAGGCACTTCTAGTTAGCGGCAGACCTGGAAGTACATCCACATCGTCTGAGGCCATGTTCTGAAATACATCCTCTCATCTGACAGAGAGCAAGCAAGGGCCAGCGGTGGCTCCCTCAGGTGCAGGGCAGTCACTGTGTTCAAGTGTTTATTTCAGGTGCTGAGTAACTTTATAGACTGCTGCTTTCAGGAACATGAAAGTAAAAACGTGGACCATTGTGCCTGCCACCCACACAGCCCACGTCCTTCCTGCAGCCAGCGTCCCCTCACCACCAAGAGCAGGGTTCTGGGAGAGCAGCCTGGGAGGGGACACAGCAGGGGCATTGGAACCCTCAGGTAGGGGGAATGGACGAGATGCCTCTGCCCCCAGGACAGTGCCTGCTTAGCCAGAGATGGCACAAAAATAACCACAATTTACAAAATAATTCTTTTGAAAAAGAAAAGGTTTTTATTTATTTTTTTAAAGATGACGGGTAAGGGGATCTTAACCCTTGTCTTGGTGTTGTCAGCACCACGCTCACCCAGTGAGCTAACTGGCCATCCCTATATGGGATCCGAACCCGTGGCCTTGGTGTTATCAGCACCACACTCTCCCGAGTGAGCCACGGGCCGGCCCAAGAAAAGGTTTTTAGAAAGATCATGCTCACCCATTTCTGAGGAGACTCATCCTAGGATCTTTCCTCTTTATAGCAGTGGAAAGAGATTGTTTGTCTTTGCTTCAAATGGGAAAAGCTCCAGGACTTAATCCCATTGACACATAATTAAGTCTGATCCTGTACCAGGAGTGCAGGCCAGGCATGGCCTGGGAGGAGAGGGAGGAAGAGGAGGCATCTGCCAGCATTCTTTTGGGAACCTCCATCATCCTCCCTAGCAGGAGCGATTAGGAAGACTGGCAAAGCTGGTGACCTGTGGCAACAGCTATTTTATAATGGAACAGGGATGCTGACCTGGCTGGTCTCTGTCTTCTCAGGGGCAGAGCTGGCTCCTGTCCATGCCCCCCAGGAGGTGACAGGTCTCTAGAGGCCTTAGACCAGAGCACAGTGATAGATGAGGTGAGTGGTCAGGATAGTGACTGAAGGAGCCCTGAGCCTGGGTGTTGGGGTGGCTCGCATGGCTGCTGGAGGCCCTGGTGGCTCTCTCAGGAGGGCGCAAACTCTTAGAGTGGGCTTCTGTATGCACTGCAGCCCCCTGCTAGGACCAGGCACACATGCTGCAAGGTTGGATGGGCTGCAGAGAGTGCCAGGAATGAGGTGCATCTCAGTACAGGGACTCTCCTTCCTAGCTTCAGCAGCGGGGCAGAGCACAGACCTGCTTACACCGACCCCTGCTCCTTTGTCTTCCCCGAGAGCACTCGCTTGCACATCTTCCTTCAGATGCCGGGGGTGTGGCAAAGGTATTCCGCCTTAAGAGGCCTCAATGTTTGTTCGACATGAGCTTTCACAGCTTAAAAAAAAACAGGAAGATGCTTGTGAGAGGGGTCCCAGCTGAGGATCCTCTGTCCAGGACCCGGTTCCTGCGAGTCTGTGCAACCCTCCCACCCTCTTCCTCTTGAGAGCCCACCCTAGGCCCTAGGGGCCATGGGGAGGATCTCCTGCCTCGGAGGACTTTATGGGAGCCTTCAGAGACACCTGGCCTGGAAATATGCGTCCCTTGGCTGAGCACCGGGCCAGCGGGCATGCCGTATGCCGGGAGCTGACTGCAGCTATGGGGCTTCTCAGCTGCTACTCATAGGTCATCACGGATCAGCCTCATGGGAGTCCCAGGGGGCAGGTGGCTCCACTTTTATATTACAGGTGTGAGATGTGACATGTCTAGCTGGGTGGCAAGAGCTGGACTTTGGCTCAGGTTTCTGGCTCCTGGGCCAGTGTCTTTTCACTCTAGTGTCACAGTACAGGGTTTGAGGACAATAATGTGGCCATTCCTTTCCTAGAATGGCTCTTGTCAAAGTGCCTGAATATGGAAGAGCCACTAGATCCTGGTATTATGGCATTCTGGTCTCAGGGACTCTCCTCAGTTAATA